GCAATACACCTGTGCACTACGCAGTGAAACACGAGCTCGTTCGGATTCTCGAGCTGATGATGGATCGTCGTCCTGACTTGCTCTATCGTGAGAATGCCACTGGAAGCACACCGCTAGAGCTTGAAGAGGACGCTTGGACACTTAGAGCAACCTCGGACCCACCTAGCTTTCGAGCTCGCGATCGATCTTGGAACGGCCGCTGGATAATGGATGCAAACATGGTTGATGTGGATCCAGAGTCCTTCCTTCCCGACTCATGTCCACCGGAGAAGAGCTTACGCGACGTATGCCGTGAAAGGGCTAGCGGCCGACCGGAAAAGCGGAAGCTAGTCACTTTAAATGAAGCGAACGAGGTGGCAAAGCGACTGGCCGCACAGAAGTCCAGTCGATGGGGACAACGTCAGGGTCAGGGGTTCACAGAAACGGATCAAGTGGCGAGATGGTATGGTCGATCTGATCGAGACGACGAGCTGACCGACGTCATGGAAACTTAAGATGCTGCTTACAGGGAAGTGCATGAAGGTTTAATCTTATGTTATCTTTCCTGTTGAAGGTGGACAGCGGGATATGGCCTCGGCATTTGTTAGTGTGAAATCGGCCAATAGAACCTGTTTACACGCTCGAAATATGAGCATGGTACCAAGTAATATAATTAGTGTCATTCATCAACCGCGAAAATCTCTGACCCCGCTAGACGAACGAGCCTAAGCCTAGAGCTAGGACATGTAGCTTTCAATTGGGGTGGCGGATATTTTTCCAGCTGGTCTAGCCTGCATTTCCGCCAGTTCACGTGGATGTGGCTTAGCGGAGGGTGGCTCCACCCCCGGATTCCCCCGCCGCTTCTCCTCCATTTCCCCAGACTTGTCCATCTGTATGTTCGGAGCACTCTCTTAGCTCTCTTGGCAGCCGACATAGTATGCGTCTATCATGCGCCAATGCGCGGGGGAAGACTGGAACGACATGAGCTTCGACTCAAGGTGGAGATACCATTGCGGAAAAGCATGGTGATCTATATATTCCAGGTATACTCGCCCTCAGCAAGGGACTGAAGCGCTAAAGTCCCTGTTATTCAGTAGACGCTTACTAGATATCTGGTCAACATGTCTGTTGCAAAGCAAATGGGGCACTCGTTGGATCTTCAAGATGACAAAATTCCTGATCCTAAGCACCAGGAGCAAGTGCCCGCAATTGTCACTATTGAGAATTTCCGGGTCTTGGGGTTGGACCCGGAGGATGAGGACTTTTATCTCAATTACCCCCCGGAGCGGAGGAAGATGGTTCGCCGCAAGGTTTGTATCCTCCCTACATGTTAGCGTAAACACCTGGATGCTAATTCCACTGTTCAGGTCGATATCCGTCTCGTGCCGATGCTCGCAGTGTTATATCTTATATCCCATCTTGATAGGGCAAACATCGGAAATGCAAAGATCGAAGGCATGATGGAGGATCTGAATCTCGATGGCATTCAATGGAACATCATACTGAGCATATTCTTTGTCCCATATGTCCTCCTCGGTGAGTTTCCGTTAGTTCGCCTTGGAGACGGTCGATCTAATTCTAGGCAGAGGTACCTAGTAACATGCTGCTCAAAACGTTTTCTCGGCCATCTGTGTATCTGGGAATCTTAATAGTTTCCTGGGGGATCATCATGACATTGACCGGGGTCGTCCAGAATTTTGCCGGGTTGATGGTGACCCGTGTTCTTCTTGGCGTTTTCGAGTATGCTTGCGGCCTACAAACCGTTGGACCAGATTTCATAGGCTGACTTCAAGCAGGGCAGGTTTCTTTCCCGGAGCAGTCTACCTCTGTACCCAGTGGTACATGCCGAAAGACTTATCTACTCGTCTTGCCTATTTCTACTGTGCTAGTGCCCTGTCTGGCGCGTTCTCAGGACTACTCGCGGCGGCCATCGCGAAGATGGACGGTGTTGGTGGATATGAAGGCTGGAGATGGATTTTCATCCTTGAGGGCTTGGTTACCGTGGTGCTGGGTGTGGCCTGTTTCTGGTTCCTCATTGATTCACCTTCGCTATCCGGTCGATGGTTAGAACCAGACGAAATTCGCTTCCTCGAGCTACAGAAATTCATCAAGGAAGGAGGACAGTTCAAAGAAGAGGAAAACGACCAGCAACAACGGTCACGGTGGAAGGATTTCCTCTCAGTGATGACAAATTGGCGAATGTATATCCTAGCATATATTTTGCTATGCCAGTCCGCCTGTTCATACGGTATGTTTCCTTAGCGTTTCGACTGACCAATATACTGATGAAAGATCAGGCAACAAATTTACCCTTCCCAGTATAACCGAAGCCATGGGGTTCAGCAGCACCAGTGCCCAGCTTATGACGGTTCCTCCCTATGTCGCCGGTGCCATTTCTGCCGTCTGCTTCTCCAGACTTTCGGATCGGTTTTACTGGCGAATGCCGTTTGTCGTGATTCCTCTCGTCCTGCTGACGGTCGGATACGGAATTATCATTTCATTCGATGGCAAGCTGGAAGAAAATGTCGGTCCTAGCTTCTTTGCCGTCATTCTGGCTATGATTGGTCTCTACCCTGTCCATCCGGCCACCACCTCTTGGACCTCTAACAATTTGACTCCGTCCAATCGACGCGCAATTGGTGTGGCGTTCAATATCTGCGTTGGCAATATTGGTGGTATTATCGGAAGTTATATGTATATGGACGACGAGAAGCCGAAGTACTATACTGGCTTTGGGCTGTCCATTGCGTTCGGAGGCTCGGCATTGATCCTTGCATTGATATTGGAAGCTTCGTTCTGGTGGGAGAACAAGAGGAGATCGAAGTTGTCGGAGTCGGAAGTAAGGGAGAAATATACGGAGGAGCAGTTGTTGAACATGGGCGACAAGTCACCTTTGTTCAAGTATACGCTGTAGGATATAGGTGATTATGATGATGAAATTATACAATGCATACTTCTGGGCATATATACACGTCCACAACTTTTATCCCACTATATTACGTACATGCCAGAGAAGAGTCCAACTCAAGGCTTCAAGGTGTCACAACAGCAACCTGGCCTTTTACTGGAATGTTTTGGTTCGTCTCTGTAGATGGGAATTCATTGACATTGACGCCGTTCCGGAACAGCAGACAATGTGTTGACCCACCGAAATGAAACATTCCAATCTCGTCTCCTTTCTTGACATGTTGACCTTCAGAGACGGTGATCTGGCAAGTCGAAACCTCGCACATTCCAATACCAAGGAACGCCATTAGTCCAATTGCAGGATTGTCACTTTCGATAAAAATCAATGCCCTCGTGGCAACCGCCGTAATGTACTCCTGGGCCGTGACTTCCCCAACTGAATCGATACCATGAGGGTGTGGATCTCCTAGACCTTCGAATAGCGGCTCGGAGTAATACGTCCCGTCAACAACATAGGCTTTCACAATCTTGCCGCTGACAGGCGCATGCCAGCGGTGATAGCTCAGCGCGCTGAGGAAAGCCTGATAGACAGTTCCGCCGACGAACTGTTCACCAAGGGAATCATGCGCCAGCATATCAAAGACCGAATACGGCTGACTCTTGATCCAGAAAACGTCTCTTCCCTTGACGTTACGAGCGACCTTGTACGGCTGCGACTCGCAGGCGTTGGCAATTACGTTGTCATCGTCTGGCGATGCAACAGGGCGAATACCAGGCCGGAAGACCCGAGTAAAGAAATCATCCCATGATTTGTACCCGTGGTATTTCTGAGGGGAGTCACAGACAAACATATCCTCGAAGGAGTAGTTCGTCTGTCCTACATTGGCGACTGAGACGAGGTTATTCTTCCCCGTTTCACCGAACCATCCGTATTGCGAATCATCTAGCACATGGGCTGACTCAGGGGACTGCAAGTACTCGCCCCAGGCGCTTAGTACCTTTTTGATCATGGCATTGATCTCTGGATCTAGAAACGCAGCGTACCCGCTGGGTGTGCCCATGGACCAGTCCAGCACTGCGTTAATGGGTAGCCCGACGAGACCGACGCGATGGGTAAAGTCACTCCATGAGGGCGCCGTCGTGAGGAGATGGTTCAGGACCTGGATCATATGTTTGTAGTCTCGGATCTGGGGACAGCCGGTTGGGTCTGTTGCGTAGACTCTGTTACGGGGGACCTCGGTGAACATAGCCTCTATAAGGAGGTAGATCCGTGTGTTGGTTTCAATGAGATGTTGGAATTCCTTCATCACTGGGTGAAGCTCGTGGTCGGCTTTGCTGTCGACGTGAGCAATTAGCCCGCCTAGCCATTCGTGGTGGCTGTCTAGGGTGGAGGGCATCCATTTTCCGAACCTGGTTTTGTTAGATTGGGAGGTCTAAGAGAGGAAATTGAAAGAAAGCCATACTTGTGAAGCCGAGGAGTGTGTTTCCCGTGCTTATGTGTCATGATTGTGATATTGGAATTGTATTTATTTATCGTGATTGAATGTAGTGGGTTCTTGAATTCATGATTGACATCTTGGCGATGGAGCGGCGTGTATTTATCCTGAGCTTGACAACTTTACATTTCGAGTAGTGACTGGCCGGTTGCATCATGATGATGCAGGGCTACTATAGCGCCATTCGTATGCTGCTTTGGTAGTGGAGCTGTGGATAGACATTGGTGAAGAAGGCACTTTATTGATAATAACAATGAATGATGTCATGGGAGGCACGTGGCAGTGAAGTGTTTATCTTATCACGATTCGCGGATTCTGGAATATGCACCTTCCTATTTCGTTGTCCGCTTCCAGTTTTCTCATATCGACATTTCTCCTACCTAATCTCTAATCTATCTTTTACTCCTAAATCAATCTAAAATTATTGGACTTTGCCGTTCATCAGAAGGCAGCTTTTATATAGAAGCACAGGTCATCCCCTTTCATAGCAAACCGTTGTCACCACGTGAATGCACCAGATCCCACAAGGATTCGATCCTGACTTGATTCTATTATATACTGTTTCCTTCATAACTCTTCTTCATCACTTCGACCATTGCAAATACTCCTACTCACAGACTAATAACCAGAGAGATACTCCTTGATGGCCGCGCACATCCGGTCTACCTGCGGTGGATTTTTGGCCCAAGAAAAGTGAGTATCGCCTGTAAGCGGGACCACTTGAACGGCAGTATCACTTGGCAGCAATTTATCCAGGTCGTTGAGTGGGGTTCCGTCGTAGTACTCATACAGACGACGCTGACTCTCCGATTCATACTGATCGTTCGTTTCCAGGGCCTTGAACAGCACGATGTGGTCCGTCGCAGATGGGAGACCTTCGAAATTTGCCGGATCGGGGCGGTAGATGTGGTGGATAGGGTCTAGGATCTTGGTGTCTCCCAATCCAATGCTGTGTGTCGCTCTATGTATATTGAAGTAGGTGTCGATAATACCAAGGAGGCCAATCTTTTCGCCCAATCCTGCCAGCCGCCGGGACATCTCCATTGCGAGGATTCCTCCAAAACTCCACCCAATGAAGTGGTACGGTCCCTGTGATTGAATGCTGCGTACGTGCTCAAGATACATTTCTGCCAACTCCTCGAATGTGCCCATGTGTTTGCTGTGCAAGTAGTAATTGTTAAAGGCAACCATGTTTGTCCTAGGTAGGTGTTTGACGATGTTGTTGAAGTAGCTTTCGGCACCTCCTTCGCCCGGAGGTAGCAGGAACAGCGTTGGGCCCTGTCGTGACGGCTCCAGGTACTCGAAGTATGGTGTGTACGTCTCCTCAGTTAATTGAGGATTCTCCGGGGATACAGAGGTTTGTTGTCTTGCTACGGCCCCGATGACCTTGTTCAATCCTTCTTCGATGTTTGAGATGAATTTCTCACTCTCCTCAAGGCCCCAAGCACTGTCCATGTCGACTCTTATAGTGCCATCAATACACACAGCTGTGACATCGACGGCAGAGGAGCTCTTATCCTTGTCCTCTGGGCTTGTTGTGAGTCCATACTCGAGTTTATTGTCGCCCACGGCAATTACCCACTCGTTTGGTTTTGATTGCTTCGGAGAGATGTGCCCCAGATAGTTGACAGTAATCTGAGGCAACGGGTGTCGACTATAGCCGTACAATGCTCCATACCCGATGCCTCTAGCAGGGACCTGCCTGAGCCGTTCATTTATAGCAACTACTCCATGAACTAGGTTCTCGGTATTGAGACGGGGGATCTCAAATGGATACATACTCGTGAACCAACCCATGGTGCGGCTGACATTCAGTGTCTGGTCAACATCTTCCTCGCGACCATGTCCCTCGATGGTGACCATACTCGGGCCCGTTGGAGAGATATTTTGGAGTGCCAATCCAACCGCACTCAGTAGAGAGTCGTACACGGAGATATCCTGCCGATTGTTGCCACCTTGGAGCAGCAAAGCTGTCATCTCAGCACTTAAACTCCTGGTCAGATGCACACGCGACCCGGTCGATGCCGGAAGCGCAGAGATGCTGGAAGCCGATTGCGCAATGAGCTCGTTCCAGTACTCTATTTCAGACGCTGACGCCTGGTAACTTTGGATCGCTTCAGACCACTGCCGGATACTGCTTCCCTTGCACCCCAGGCTCCCTTTCTGGTAGAGTATCTGCAAGTCACGGGCCATGATCTGCCAGCTAACGGTGTCGACGGCGAAGTGATGGATGGAGAACCATACTCGCGCGGATCGATCTTCGTACCCATACAGGTAGCCAATGGCACAGATCGGGCCGTCCTCGAGGTCAAAGCCTGACTGCCACTCGCGCAGTATCTGGTTAACGGCTGCAGGCCCGTCAACGTCCTTTGTGTTTAGCACCCGTAGCTGGACAGGAGAAGCGTCTTCAGCAAAGGACTGTACAAATCTATTGTTCTTGCGATTCAGTCGCGTACGGAAAGCATCGTGATACTGTTGCAATTCGTTGACGGCAGTTCTCAGGGCAGCAATATCCAGCTCAGGAGTTCGGAGGTAGAAGGTATGATTCCAATAGCTCCAATGCTGCAGCGGCTTAGACAGGAACCAGTTCTGAATCGGCAGTAAGGGCGCTTCGCCAACCACCAGTCCTTGTTCGCTACGGAACTGGGCGACAGCATCCGGATCTGTGTCCTTCATGAAGACGTGGTCATTGAGGGCTCGAATCGTACGATACTCAAAGATGTCTCGAACAGTGACCTTCCGACCGATCTGATTGTGGATCTGTGCCACAAGGTGCAATGACATTATGCTGTCACCACCTAGTTTGAAGAGGTCATCGTCGATTCCGCATCGTTCTATACCCAGCACTGATGCCCACAACTTACATACTTTAGACTCTAGTATGTTCCTTGGCGGACTGTATGATAACAGCGCTGATGTGTTGTCAATTTCAGGCAGTCTCTTGATGTCAAGCTTTCCGTTAATAGTCACAGGAAGTGTACCCTCTAGACGGCAGAGATCGCTCGGCACCATGTATGCTGGAAGCCTCGCTTTCATGAATGTGAGAATGTTAGTTTCCAGTACTGTTTCGTTGTCCGCGATATAGTAGCCGACTAGGGACTGCGCGATCCGTGAATAGGCATCTTCCTGGTCATATTTGGCGACAATCACACACTCCCGAACACCAGGACTAGAGGCAAGAACGTTCTGCACTTCGGAAAGCTCAATACGGTATCCTCTCATCTTGACCTGCAGATCGCCTCTTCCTAGGTATTCGAGTTGTGGCTGCTGTTGATGGCTGACCCGGCATCGAAGCAGGTCGCCGGTCTTGTAAAGTCGCGAGAATCGCCCAGCGGTGAGGTCCTCCTCGCTCCGGAAAGGGTTGGGAAGGAACCGCTGATCTGTTAGAACAGGTTCGTTGAGATAACCACGTGCCACGCAGTCACCAGCCAGGTAAAGCTCTCCTACTGCGTCGAACGGGACGGGCTGAAGCGCCTTGTTGAGCAAATACGCTCGGGTGCCGGGAAGCACATCGCGTATAGCATTCTCAAAACTCGAATTCGCAGTGAATTCCGTGATGATGTTGTACACCGTGGTCTCAGTGATACCGTAGGCATTGTAGATCGTACCTCCAAATCTGCGGCGCATTTTCTCGTATTGCGTGGCATGAAACACCTCACCTGCTGCAGTTATGACCTGCAAGTGATGCAGTTGTGCCACATCGATCTGTTGCAGCAAGGATGGAGTTCCACTTAAATACGAGAGGCCGTGAGTGTTGGCCATCTTGTAGAACTCTTCATCGACGACGAACTCTGCCGGAGGAACGATCAACTTGTGTCCGCTTAGCACCGATAGCACAATTTGTTCGATAGAGAAATCAAAGACATAATTAGAAAGGAAAAGTACGGAATGATGCTTGGCGCAGCCACTGCCAAAATACCGTTCCCTGAGGGCATCACGCAACAATAGAACACCCTTTTGCTCCACTAGAACGCCCTTGGGCTTACCGGAAGTGCCCGAAGTATAGATTATATACGCCAGATTGTCTAGCCCGGCAACGGCAGGCAAGTCGGCAGGTAACTGTTGGTCGATCTCGGTTACGACGGCGGGCGAGTCGATTGATATCACTTTTGCGCCCAGGTATTCACATTTAACGGCATGGTGGGAGTGCACAAGAACAGTCTTCGCCTGAGTCTCCTCCAGTATCAGCTTGACGCGCTCCTTCGGGTAAGTTGGGTCCAAGGGCACATATGCTGCACCGGCCTTCCATATCGCCAGAATGCAAACAATTGTCTCGATGCTCTTGTCCAGTATCAGAGCTACTCGCCCTTCAGCCCCAATGGAGGAGACAGATTGTAAGTATCGCGTTAACTGGTTAGCCCGCTTGTTGAGATCGGCATAGCTGAGTGCTTTATCTCCTTGAACAACGGCAATCTTCTCCAAGGCCAGTGAAACTTCGTGCTCGAAGGCCTGGCTTAGCGATGCTGCGTTCTGCTTCTTAGCAGGCATTGCAAGAGGGGATTGCGCCAATGGTAGGTGTGCATCGCCATTCTCTTGCGGACGAACCAACAACAACTGCGTATCCTCCTTGATTCCTTCTGAACCTAGCGTCGATAGCTGGTGAATGAGGTATTCGTAGGTACGCAAAAGACCCTCAATCGTGGTCTTATTGAACAGGCTGGTGGCGTAGTTGAACGTCACCCTCAATCCCGACTCCAGTTCGGTGATCGTTGCATTCAGATCGAACTTCGCAACTGAAGCGAGGGGCTGAACCGGGCGGTGTTGAGTAAATTGTAATACCCCCTCATCTTGCGACCCAGTGTCATGCTCTTGGTCTGGACGGGCTTCAAAGTTGAAAACGGTTTGTACCAATGGATGCCGGCTAGAATCATTAACCACCTGCAACAGCTTCGTCACCTCCTGGAACGACATGTCTTGGTGTAATTGTGCTTGCACCAGCTCTTTCATTACCCTTGCGATGAGGTCGCGAATGCCACACTGAGACACATCTACTCTAAGCACGACGAGATTCACGAAGAATCCAATGATGGACTGGAATTGCGGGTGTGTTCGGTGGCTGATTGGGATACCCACTGCGATATCTGTCTGGTTCGCGTACGAGGCAAGCATCACGTAATACGCGGATAGCAGGACCACATACAGACTTGACTTGCAATGTTTTGCAACCTCTCTCAGGCTCTGTGTTTCCTTTTGACTCAGTTCAATACTGAGATCGTCGCCCTCATAGTTGAAACGCCCCGGTCGTGGACGGTCCGTGATCAGCTGTAATGACTCTAAACCACTGAGCTTTTGCAACCAAAAGTCGGATAGGCTACTGCGGTTGGCTGAAAGCTGCCGGCGATGGTATTGGGCATAATCCTTGTACTGTACTTTCAGCGTGGGCAAAGTCGCTGCACTCTTTGTTTTGTGGAGGACCGCGTACAAGGCTTGAAGTTCTCGCTCAAACACACTTAACGACCATGCATCAAAGCTGGTATGGTGGAACGTCACAATGAGATATAAGCCGCCTGATTCGTGTCTAAGTATACGGGCTTGCCAAGGCAATTCATCACCCAGGCAGAAAACGTGCTGGGATAGAGTGGCCATCTCTTGGTCCAATTGCTCCATGGCTTGGATTATGCCCACCCTGATGGAAAATATGCGCTGGGCGCCTCGGGGCTCAATATTCTCTGAAAATAGGTGCCAGTTTTGTCGTCCTTGACCAGCAACGTTCTCAACGCCTCGTGACGAGCAAGGATTCCACGCAGTGCCTGCTCGAGATACGAGGCGTCAACCGAGCCAGGAAATTTATAAGCGGTGTCGATGTTGTATGCATTACTGCCATTCTCAAACTCGTGAATGAAGAGAAGCCGCTCTTGGGCGCAGGAAACGGGAATCATCTGCCCCTCATTGTATTCCAGAGGTGTGATTTCATTCACATCCGCAGCATTGTTTACGATCAGGTGTGCTAGGTTCTCAACCGTTCGGTGACGGAAAAGATTGCTGACTGAGATTGCTCGATTAAAGGCCTCATGAACCATAAATGAAAGCTTCGTGCTCTTCAGACTGTCACCTCCCAGACTGAAGAAATCGCTATAAATTCCAATCTCCTCTGGGCGGACCTCAAGCAGCTCCGCCCAAATGTCACACAGGGTGCGTTCGACTTCATTGCGCGGCGCCACCACGTCGATCTCGCTCTCTTCTTCAGCGGGAGGTAAGGCCTTGGTGTTTAACTTTCCACTGGGAGAGACGGGGAGTTTGCTGATTGGTATGAGGCGAGATGGTACCATGTAGCCAGGCAATCGAGACTGCATGAAGCGCCGAATAGCGGCTGACGACAGCGTTGCATCAGCAACGTAGTAGCCAACGAGGAATTTCTGTCCTCCTTCTTTGCGGTCCTTTGCAATCACCACAGACTGTTTGATCTCAGGGTATGACGACAGGATGGCCTCGATTTCACCCAGTTCGATGCGCAATCCGCGAATCTTGACCTGGAAGTCATTACGGCCCAGGTACTCAATCTCCCCGCTACTCCCTGGGATCCAACGTACTAGATCGCCTGTCTTGTAGAGGCGGGAGTTTCGGCCTGTTTTCCTTTCCTCTTCCGTCTGAAATGGATTGGGTATGAATCGCTCCGCGGTCACATCTGGGCGATTGTGATAACCTCGTGCGACACCTTGACCACCTAGGTAGAGCTCACCAACAGCCCCGATAGGAACGCGCTTCATGTCGTCGTTCAGCACATAGCTCGTGCTATTATGGACCTGTTGACCGATACTCTTGTCTGTGCGCCGCTCTGGGAACGGATAGAGACGTTTATGGGTGGTGATGGAGACTTCCGTCGGGCCGTAGCCGTTGATGACGAGGCCATGGAAAGTTTCGCGAATCTTGTCGAAGACCGGTTCGCTAAACGCCTCTCCGACGCAGTCTACACGGCGGAGATGGCTCTTAAACCGGTTGAACTCGTACATCGAAACCACAGATGGGGTACCAGACAGGTAGGTCACTCGGTTCTTCTCAATGTATTGATAGAGTCGGTCTTTGTCTCCACGCATTTCATCATTGAGGACCAGTAGGGTTTGGCCATTGAGAATGGCGTCGGTCAGCTGCTCCACAAAATGGTCGAATACGTAGTTGGAAAAAGAGAGTATCACCTCATCGTCCGTACTCCGCAAGTTAAATATCTTAGACAGCGACACCTGCAGATTGACCACTCCATGATGCTCCAATGCGACACCCTTGGGCCGGCCCGTCGTGCCAGATGTATAGATGATATAGGCCAGGTCTGTGTTCCGACTTACCGGTGAAGGGTTTGCTGTACTGTACTTTGGATCTGGCGTGGCTGTCAGGTCGGAGGGATAAAGAAGCGTTTCTGGTGCAGCCATTCCCTTGACGCGAGGCAGATAGCAGGAGTCCGCAATGACAGCGATGGCCCGGGTGTCCTGAATGATATATTGGATACGGTCATCAGGATATCCAGGGTCAATTGGAACATATGCACCTCCGCTTTTCCACACGGCCAAAATGCTGGCGACCATATGCTCGCTCTTGTCCATTATGAGGGCAATGACTTCGTTGGGCTTCGGGCTGACGTCGGACCTTAGTTGGTGTGCCATGCGGTTCGCCCGCTCATTCAACTCGCGATAGGTTAAGGCCTGCTCCTCGTAGATGACCGCTGTTTTCTCGGGCTTCTTAATCGCTTCCATCTCGAACATCTCATGCAGCGTGGTGTCGGGAAACTCTGCTTCCGTAGCATTCCACGCAGCGAGTTGTGCCAGTTGGGCAGATGAGAGGTACTCCAGACTGCGGACAGGTTCATTCAAGCCTTGCGCAACCCGCATCAAAGTGTCCTGGATCATACGAAGTAGCTCGGAGATGGTCACCTCCTCAAACAGCTCACTGGCGTAGCAGATGGACAGAGTGATTCCGCCAGTAGCCTCAACTTCACGCGCGATGACAGCCAGCGGGTAGTCCAGCTTCTCTGTACCTCCTTGGATTGAATATCGCAGTTGGCTTTGGTGCTGTAGAACCCGTGACTTGTCCAGGTTCGGGTAGTTCTCCAGCACGAATAGAGAGTCGAATAATCCATGCTTCAAGTCGTTTTTGCGGAGATTGCCCAGTTCCGCATTGCCGCGGCTATTCATCGCGTTTACTTTAGCCTGCACATCCTCAATGGCCTCCATGATAGTCTTGTCTTTGTATGCCGAATGATCGATTACCAGCGGCAGCGTATTGATATAAAGCCCAACGGATCGTTCAATTCCGCTAATGGGCAGGTTTCTTCCAGAGATGGTCGTGCCGGTGATTGTATGGCTGCCGCCCCCATAAGCGTGAAGCACGGCGTGCCAAACAAACTGGAGGATCGAATGCAAGGTAATGCCTTGGGTGGAGCAGGTCTGACGGAGTTCTCCTAGCCATTCATCTCCGGCGAGTGCCACTGTCAGCTGTTTCTGGTCCTGTACCTGGTCATAGTCCGCCAGTTGGACTTTGTACCGACTACGCTCATTCAACAAGGCATTCATATCGCACCGCTCGGCGATCTGCCCAACCACTCCGGCCCAATAATCGAGATGATCCTCACGGTGAGCTTGGAGATACCGTTGGGTGCGAGCGTAAGGGTCATCTGCAAGCGGGACAATATTGTCCCCATGGAGCAATTGCAGATAGGTTTCATGGACTTTCTCGAACAGAAGCGGCAGGCTCCAACCATCAAGGATTGCATGGTGACAGCTAAAGAGACAAGTGAAACGATTCTCGCTGTATTGTATCAGATAGATGCGGAATAGCCTCCCGGCATCTAGTTTGTATGACTCCTCGCGGTCTTGGTGCTGCAAGTCGACCAATTTCTGATCCTCAACAGCACCCGTAGGCACATTGGCAAAGTGGAAGAAACGCCAGTCCAACAGTTGGTCCTGATCTATCACTTGTGAAACTTCCTTTGCCCACTTGAAACGAAGCCTCAGTGCCGGGTAGACCTGTTGAGTGTGCTTCCAGGCCCTCTGGAACAGATCTGGGGACAACTTGATATCATATCGCAGGACAGACTGCATTATATAGGCATCGGAGTGTTCCATGTTTTTAAGATAATGATAGACAAACCCCTGCTGAAGACTGTTTGCCATATAAACATTATCAGTGGCTGCGTCTCCCTGCGCAGCAGATTCGCTCCCATAGCGTCCATCGGATGCCTCATGTTGCTTGCTCTGCAGAAGATACGCCATGCGCTCCAGTGTTCTTGTTGCGAAGACATCCTCGACAGAAATACTTACCGAGAGTCGCTCTCGGATGCGCGCAATGAGTTGGATGCAGGTGATGCTGTGCCCTCCGAGACGGAAGAAGTTATCGTTGCGAGAGATCGATCCGTGGCGGGCTTCCAATACGTCGGCCCAGATTTCTCCGAGAGCAGATTCCATGTCGCTCCTGAGATCGGAACGAATCTCGGAGGATTTGGAAATATCGACGCTGGCAGGGCGCGCAGGTCCGCCTTTCCGTTCACGTTTACTGGGATCTGCGACAGCTCTACCAGCCGCGTCGGGATCATGTATCGAGGTAGTTTCTTCTCCAAGAAAGACAGCAAATCCGTCTCGGATACCGAGGTGTTGTCGCAGACATAGTAACCCACGAGGTGCTCGTTCGTGGTTTCCTCAGTACCTTTCCGGAGCTTTTTAGACACTACCAAACTTGTCCGGACGCCGGGGTACTGAGCCAACGTTGCCTCAATCTCACCGGGCTCAATTCGGATGCCTCGCAACTTGATCTGGAAATCTGCGCGTCCCAGATATTCAACCTCGCCGTTCGGAAGCCAGCGCGCCAGGTCTCCAGTCTTGTACATTAAGCTGTTGACTCCGAGCTGCTTCTCACGCTTCGTCTGGAAGGGATTGGGGATGAACCGTGTCGGTGTGAGATCAGGGCGGTTGAGGTATCCCTTTGAAATACCCAACCCTCCAATGTGTAACTCGCCCGTGGCCCCAATGGGAACACGCTTGAGGGCAGGATTAAGGATATAGCACTTGACGTTGCGCACGGGTCTTCCCAAACTCGTGTCGTTGCGAGTCGACTCGGGCTCAAAGACCTTGAGGGCTGTTACGAAGGCTGATTCAGTGAATCCATACTCATTCAGAATGCGGTTCTTGAATCGTTTGCGTAGAGCCAGATACCGGGCTTCTGTTAAGTTTTCACCCACCAGAATCATTCGCTTGAGGGACGGGCAGTCGGAAAAGTTGTATTCTTGTAGAACAGAGGCAGTACCATTGAGGTAGGTAATGTTGTGTCTGCGAATGAAGGGAAGGATTTTGTCCGCGTCATACTTTTCTGCATCATTGATAATGGCGAGGAGATGGCCGTTTACTAATGCCATGAGCATTTGGCGAACGAATGGCTCGAACACGTAGGCTGAGAACAGCAGAATCGCTTCGTGGTGTTGCCCAGTCACCCCATAACGGGCAGACAGGTCGGTGATACTGTTGACTACGTTCGTGTGTTGTTTAAAGATACCCTTGGGGAACCCCGTGGTTCCAGAGGTATATGTCACGTAGGCTAGTTGCCTGCTCGTGAGGCGTAGCTCATCCAAGTTGTGCGATGGAATGCTCGAGCTATCCTGACCAAGGAATTCGAGCAATGGCTCCAAAGGAATAATGCAGAGTTTCCTGTCGCTGACGATCTGTCGCTCAAGCCTCTCGGCGTGTCGATTACTGGTGATGATGACCTGTGCCTCGGTGTCATCCAGCACAAATCGGACTCGCTCATCTGGATACGTTGGGTCAATGGGTACATAGCTGCGCCAGACTTCCACACGCCCAGAATGGTAACAATAAGCTTTTCACTCTTATCGAGGAACAATGCGACAATTTGCTCGGGCTGGATGCCTGTTGAGTGAAGATAACGTGCGAGACGGTTTGCCTGGGTGTTGAGCTCGCCGTAGGTGATCTGTCGCTCCTCGCAAACCACGGCGACCTTGTCCTTGTGGCGTTGAGCCCCCTCTTCAATTAGATGATGCAGCCGCTTGGATGCTGGGTACTCTCCATCCGTGTTGTTCCATTCCTCCAGCTGCTGCTGCTGCTCTAATGACAGTAGTTCAATATCAGTAACTAGCGTCGCTCCTCCTGTCGCTGCTTTAGCGAGCAAGATGTTAAGGGCATCTGTGAAATTGCATATTGTCTCCTCATCGAAAAGACAGTCGGAGAAGCGCAGAGTCAGCTGGAGTCCTGTCTCACCCTCATCTACCATCACTGCTAAGGGAAAATCAAATGATGGAAGAGCAGCACCGTCTGCGTCGGCAAAGATGACGAGTAAGTCAAATAGCCCTAAGCCCACGAGATCTGACGCTCTTTCGATCGTGTGTGTGAACGGCTTCTTCGAACTGCGCACCGCTTCAATACTCTCAACGGCCTGTGCCACGGAGCATCCCTCTCTGTTCTCATGGCTGACGAATGTGGGCGACACCGCCCATGATGGTTGAGAATCTTGGGGATTCTCCTCAAGGTGTAGAGAGGCGGTAATAGTTTGTGATCCATTACCAAACCCTTTCAGCATCTGGTGTATGGCGAAAAGAATAACGGATCTTACGCTGACACGGCGTTCAACACAAAGCTCTTGCAACGCGGAGTGTACCTCGCTAGGGACCGTCATGAAGCGCTGCCGGTACACAGTGCTCGCATCACCGAATCCCGTCGATGCCAGCTGATATCTCGTGGGGTTGGTTGCTAGACCGCTCACGTCGCAGCGCTCGGTGACCTGGCTCACTAAATCCTTCCATTGCTCGACACCCCCGGGGAAACGGATGTGGATCCTGCCTTCCATCACATTCCCATTGTGAGGGCTGATGTTGCCATTGCTGGGTTTCACCATGCCATTGTCAACATTCGCACCCCCATCGGCCCCGGAGTCCGTGGTCCTCGATAAGCCTATCGATCCTGAACTGATTTCGCTTCCGGGCTGCAATAGCGTCATGTTGGTCGTTGACAAGGGTAATGATACAATAGTAGTTTAAGAAGACGCCATAAAAGACGATTTAGGCGCCATACAGGAAATACTTTATATTGGGCCTGCTACGTCCATCTCCCGCTGCGAAGGTATCTTCTCTGCCTGGCCCATTTCCAACCAAAAGCGCCTGTGCTACTTTAGACGTCCCTCCGAGACAGGATGGAGAATTCCCGTGTATTATGGTCCACAGGAGACCAGATGCTATTTGCTCCTTTGCCGTTAAGTATCCCCACGTTGCAGCGGAAGATCGCCCCACAGAGCCACAGGAACAGTCCCGCGCCGTCATGCCACAGAGGGTGGGACGCATAGTCGAGACTACGACCGGCTCTGATTGCAGGAACCGCAAAGAATGAGAAGGGTCCATATTTTGTTCCAATGGATCTTGGGTAGCTGTCGTTGAGCCAAATGAGATAATAATTTAACACGCAACGACGAGATCCAAAGCGGTTCCGACATGTGAATGCGGGCTGTTGCACCTCGGGGCATCGTCGTTGTTGGATATACCTTTCTTTCGCCTTTGAGGCTTGGCAGGTCCACCAGATTCAACGACTGTTGTGTTACCCGAACATCCCCGGTCCCGTTTCTATTATAGTGCCTGCGTCCCTGATACTAAGGAATCGATGCCTGTCGGACGATCGATCATTGGTCGGATTGTGCCGTCTACAGATGTCGCGATGCAGGTTGGCCAAGTACCCAGACCAGCAAAAGACTCTCTGACCTCGTTATCGGGCTAACAGATTATGTTGACTACCGCGGAACCCATCAAGCGATGAAACCTTGGGGATTATGCATAGGGGTTTAAGGTGGACTCGGCGTAAACCACCTTCCGTGGCCCTTTCAGGTGGAGAGGAAGAGATGGCGTCGTCTTCTTTACGACTGTACTCGTCACTCATAGTTCTATGAAGGAAAACTCACCTTCTTTCCCTCTCGTTCTACCTCTCTTCGTCACCGCTGTGGCTAACGAAATCTTACCGTCCTTTTCCTGCACAATATGTCTTCTGCTCCGAAGGCGAATGTCCCCAAAATCGATGTGTCACCTTTGTTTGGTGACAATATGGAGGAGAAGTTGAAGGTCGCGCGCGCGATTGATGCTGCCTCGCGCGACACCGGCTTCTTCTACGCGGTCAACCATGGAATCGATGTGAATCGACTTTCAGAGAAGACCAAGGAGTTCCACATGTCCATTACAGATGAAGAAAAATGGGACCTTGCTATTCGCGCCTACAACAAGGAGCACCAGGACCAGATCCGGGCTGGGTACTACTTATCTGTTCCAGGCAAAAAGGCTGTGGAATCCTTCTGTTATCTGAATCCTAATTTCAAGAGCGACCACCCTCGCATCCAATCGAAGACGCCTACTCACGAGGTCAACGTGTGGCCCGACGAGACGAAGCACCCGGCTTCCGCGACTTCGCCGAGCAGTACTACTGGGATGTGTTTGGGCTCTCGGCAGCCTTGCTGCGAGGCTATGCGTTGGCACTAGGCAAGGAGGAGGACTTCTTCAGCCGCCACTTCAAGAAGGACGACGCTCTCTCGTCTGTCGTTCTCATCCGTTACCCATTTTTGGACCCTTACCCACCCGCCGCCATTAAGACAGCAGCAGATGGCACCAAATTGAGTTTTGAATGGCATGAAGATGTGTCGCTCATCACCGTCCTATACCAATCCAACGTGCAGAACCTGCAAGTGGAGACTCCTCAAGGGTACCTTGACATCGAGGCGGACGACACCGGCTACCTGATCAACTGCGGCAGCTACATGGCACACATCACCAATAACTACTACCCCGCCCCCATTCACCGGGTCAAATGGGTGAACGAGGAGCGCCAATCGCTTCCATTTTTTGTCAATCTGGGCTTTGACGAGACGGTCCAGCCGTGGGACCCTCTTGACCCCAACGGAAAGACCAACAAGGAGCCAGTCTCCTACGGCCAGTATCTGCAGAACGGCTGGTTAGTCTGATCAACAAGAACGGCCAGACCTAGCGCAGGGGGGCTAGCCGAAGTGTACCTAGTCATCAATTGATTGCCCTTATGCAGAAATGCGCACATCTTTCGTATTCGTGCAACATAGTTTATGCTGCAGCCGATGGCCCCATCCCGTAGAAGACCATCAACTGCCAGCCTGTCCTTCCTGTCTTGTAAAAAACGATGCTGCCAAGAGGTTACCTAATATATTGGTTTCTTCAGCTCCAGTGTGCCGAAGCCATCCCCTTGGCATTTGCCACTGCGTGCTTCATGATGACTTTTTGTTTGCTGAATTTACCTCCACAGCTTTACATACGCCGAGATGCGAGGTCCCGGTCCACGTCGAATAAGGGAATCAGAGCAATTCAACAGCTTCTGATTGGTGTTGAGCGTAGCCAGGATGCAACCCTTGACAAAAGTCTGCAGAACGCTAAACATGCGGCTGGTGGAAAGTGGATTGATATCTCGTGTTGGACTCCACCTGGCTCCAATGGCTGCCCCGGTTGGGTCCAAGCGATCAGGTAATTTGCCCGGGGCCATCTTAGTCTACCGATGTTTGAAAGGCTATCTCAGGCAAGGCCATTCAAGGCCTGTGCACAACCCTCATGCTACTACTCCGGAGTAGTATGTTTTCCACTCGATTCAATATTGGGGCCGTGGGTGGTAGTAAGGTGGACCAAGAAAAATAATTAATTAAAAATCGATATGTCTCAGCGTGCCTTCCCACCGGGATGATCGAACCCCAGGGCTGCGTCTTTCATCTCCATCTGTCCAATTCATCGGTTTGCCAAACGACGGCCCACACCCAACATGCTTCAAGTTACTTGTCAAGGCACCCCCTTCGAGGTACGTCCTTTGCCGCATGTCGCATCGCTTCCTAGAACCGGTCAAGGTCTCACATAGTCCAGATTGGGTACCAACATGGCTCAACCGCCAAAGCTGTGATCGCCAAATCCATTAACTTCGCCGTCGGTCTTATCCGAGGGAAAACGAAGAAAACAGAGGAAGAGCTTAAACAGATCGTGACGGAGCTGGGAAGCGTGATTGAGAGAAGATGGCCCAGATATTACGAGGAGATTCGCGGTGAGTGTCGCTCCAGTTGCCGTACTCTCTTCTGCATCATGCTGACCAGGGCTCGTGAAAACCCAAAGGTATTGCAAAGGGCGCCGAACGCGATGTCTCCGAGATTGTCATGCTCAATACCCGCACAGAATTTGCATATGGCCTCGTTGAAGCCCGCGATGGCTGCACCACCGTCTATTGCAAACTTTCCGAAGGAGCACTGCAGGGCCAGAACTGGGATGTACGTTAAGACGTTTCTCTTCCTCAATCTCATCCCGTCGAGTTTGCTGCTGACATTTACCTTTCCATTTTTTCCTGAGTTCTAGTTCTTTTCTGCCACCAAAGAGAATCTGATCCAATTGACCATCCGTCAACCCGGCCTACCCACCATCAAGATGATTACGGAAGCTGGAATTATCGGCAAGGTTGGATTTAACAGCGCAGGCGTTGCCGTCAACTACAATGCTCTTCACCTTCAGGGCCTGCGGCCTACTGGGCTTCCTTCGCATCTTGCCCTCCGCATGGCGCTTGAGAGTACCTCTCCTTCCCAGGCCTATGACCGGATTGTGGAGCAAGGTGGGATGGCCGCCAGCGCCTTTATCATGGTCGGCAACGGGCAGGAGGCATACGGGCTGGAATTCTCCCCCATCAGTCTCCGAAAGCAGGTGCTCGACGCGAAGGGCAGGCTGGTGCACACCAACCACTGTTTGCTCAATCATGGTGAAAATGCGAAAGAACTCGATCCTTTACCGGACTCGTGGAGTCGCCATCAGCGTATGGAGCATCTGCTCGATGGGTTCGATGGTACCAAAGAAGCATTCTCCCGGCTCTGGGAGGACGAGGACAACTACCCCTTTAGCATCTGCCGAGCATATGAGGAGGGTAAAAGCAGGGGGGCCACTTTGTTCAATATCATGTACGATCATGCTCGCCGAGAGGCAACTGTGCGCTTTGGCCGGCCGAAGAACCCGGATGAGACATTTGTCTTGCGGTTTGACGAGGAGGACAAAAGGTCTGCACTCAATGCTAAACTTTAAAGGGCCACTTTGACTGACAGGCGTGTGGCAGTGCCGTATCCTGATTTCTCTGTACATAGCTCAATCCGACCATCTGTCGTATGTAGAACGGTGAAGAGCTTCACAAAATATTTAATGAAGTTCTTGAAAATCTTGCTTTTACAATGACCTAATCACGTTATTTATAATCAGTTGGGCAAGGAATAACTAATCATTTCTTTAATTGAATAACCTTATGACTAAAGAACCAGCGACTCAAACCTAAACCTGATGTTTTATGCTGTACATCAGAATTTTATAATACGGAGAGATTCCTTTCTGTGCAGCATACTAATCTCTTTAATCAGGTAATAAAAGAAATCTACGTCAGGGTCGTTACGAAACCGAAGAGTCAGTTGTTTATAGTTATATATATCTGGATTATCTGAGCTTCAAGCTCTCTAAAGACATCAGAAGTTGCAAAATTCATTTGATACCCAGTCGTTCATCGTAGTGCCAGTGTGTTAAAGCACCTCAACCCCTACGTCAGTGCTAAACTTTTAGCAAGACTCTGTCATGATATAGTTCATCCTCTTTCCTTAGTGGGAACGCCCTCTCAATGCCTGTGTCTGCATACTGTTCATCAGCGGAGGAGAAGGGTCATCATATGTCAAAGTAGATCATAACTCCCTCCTCCATTGCCACCTGTTCTTGACAAAATATCTCATCTTTGACGATACTCTCCCCAGCTGGTCGCCGTCTATCCCGGTGCAACAACGGGAGGCTACGTTATACTGAAGTCATATACACACGGTGCAATATTACCCGATGGCAACCGGCCAAAAGACAGACTCCAAAGCTTTCGGGACATACTTCCTGACCTTTAGGGGTGCAGTTCATAAGCTTTTACACATTATTGCACAAGGCCTTGAGGGGAAATGTGATAAGGAAGGGGTGTCCGCGGTGAGCATAAACAAGAGTAGGATGACCCATAACTATATATCCAAAGTATCTGGATGCTTGGGTCAATCAGATCCCAGGACCCGCCATTGGCTGTATGAATATTCATTAGCTAAAAGGCTCGCATGTAGCTCTGAATTTACTCAATTGGGAGAATATTACTTGATAACATCCGACGGTAGCCTTTTTGCTTTTCACTATTATGCTATAAGCTTGGTTCTATGTCCCGTATAATGTACGGTTAAACTAGGACATGCCATCCACGACGGGGTCCATGGTTCCAGCTACCTTTTAGGTTGGTTCAGGATCTCTTTCCCTGAGACTGCCTTTGTTTCAAGGTATTGGTACTCAACATTGTCTCACAAATCCCCGCAGTTCCACAAATATAGGAGATGGGAGAGGGGTCTGTGCTGGTGGAGGTTAGGGATGGAGTACAGAGGTTGTTTATTGATGCAGTGATTTCGCCATGTGTGTTAATATCCAATAGATACATACACTAAGCAGAACCAGAGTTACTTGCAAAAGCTTTTCTATATTGCTAATGGTTACGATTGCTAATGTTGAGTGAGGTGGTTACTGTATATACATACCCGCTTGGGATCATTAGCCCTTATCCCTGAGAGTTTGACAAACTGCAGCGGCGGTGTTCTAAGTACCCGATTTACCAGTTTTAGAGGGATTCCTTGCTTATGGTACCTCTTGATATTTAAGTTACATTCCGTTGAGCTATCATTTATAACATGTGGCGTCTTACCTCGGCCTGTTGGGACAACCCAACAATTTCCTCATCCTGTCACTTGACGTATGTGATATAAAGATCTGATCCTTAACTTAGAATTTGGTTTCATATATGGGTGTCCAGGCAATTCCACGCCCTATAGTTGACGTATGTTGGCACCCAATTCAAACATGTCTTTTACTCCGTTTTGACGTATGCTCGGGTATACTTTCCATAGCCATATCAAGCCCTGTAAGCACATTCAGAGAACAATAGCTATATATATCAGCCAGTATATCCTCTATTCCAGTCAGTTATTCTTTATCCAACACATCTCTAATCTTCTTAACACTGCCTTAATACCTTCTTAATACATAATATTACTATAAACAGCGGATATCGTCATCCAACCCCAACCATTATGTCTTCTCTTGGCAGCACCGATCTTGCCGGCCTGACGACCGATGACAAGAGCCTGTACCTTTTCTACCAAAGGTCTGGCTACATTGTCGAGGCCTTCTCTGAGGAAGGTGGCCCTCCGACACAGACATCTGTGCAAGTTGCCGCAGACGCGCAGAGTGGCGGTTCCCCTTTGACTGCCTACTTCGTCAAGGAGGATCTGAACTATGACAAGCATTCCACGGTATGTGTACACCGAAGTGCCATAATAAATATAACTTTACTAACAGCAACCTCTAGATTCACATGATCTATCTCAACAAAGAAGGACACTTGGTTGAAAAGGTCAGACGGGTTTCCTCAGACAAGTGGGAAGACGCTCCCAAGCCTCCGGGCCATGCCGCAGAACACTCGCGGATCACCAGTGGTGTGTCCCAGAAGGGTCTCGACCGGGAAAGCTCCCATGTGACTCAGTTGGTGTTCTTCACGAGGTGGGGTTTATGCCACATAAGATGCACCATGACAGTACTGATAGGGTAACAGTCGGGAGGAGCATGGGAAGTCGCCTATTACTGAACTTCGCCGGGACAACAAGGGTGCCTTCCACCTGGAGCACATGCTTTCGGACGAGCCCCTCTCGCTTCCTGGAACGCATCTCGCATGTATTGTCACTCGGGAGAACATAGACTTATATCACCAGGACCATGACAAGAATATCAAGTGGTGGAAATATGAGGCCGAACGCAAGCGCTGGGAAAGTACGTTGTCACCTCCCCCCCACCCCCAGACACCTTTGCTTGTAGCAACGCTGATTATCTGCCCCGTGACTAGACAAGGGAAAAGTGCTTGAGGGCAGCAGAGTCATGGTCAGAACTCCGTTGGCTTCTGTGTACTTTGAAGGCAAGAACCACATTCTCTATGCCGATGATCAGATGAGACTGCGGGACTATGTTGATGGCAAAACTATTGACGTTGTACGGAGAGTCTATGAGGATGCTGGAATCAATGCCATGGTGTATCGCAACAAGATCATCTTGTTCTACAAGATGGTTGAGCCCGAGGGAGCGATCGGCACTGCGTCCTTCACGGAAGGCAGGTGGAAGGAAGAGGGTATTTTCATCAAGCCCTGACGACAGGAAGAAAGGATTTTCACCAAGAAGATTGGGCATATCTCCTTGCCTTTGCCTCTTTGACTTTGCTTCTTTGGCTTTATTGTTTTTGAGTGGCGTTATGTTAAATGCTTTTGGACGGCTATCTCTGTTGTGCCTTTGCTTTTGCTTCTTGGTAAAACTGTTGACAGATTGGACAATCGTTAGGAGTTGAATTTGACTCAATTTTTCAATCTTTATATCTATATGTCGACGACTGATGTGCGTACCTTGTTTGGAAGGAGACGTGTATGTGTCTCCCGCGCTCCTAGTACACATACAAATTGAGGAGCTACTCGACCGAGTATTAGATCTTGGTTCAGTGTGCTATTGAAACTCGTGTAGAGGCGACATCAAAAAGCCATCGGTATACAGTTGAGGCCAAGACAGAAAGGGATAACCATTCACTCCCAGTTAGTAAGCATTGTTGATTTTATGGTAGGAAGAGCTGGGTAAACACAACAAATGGGCGCATGAACTGGCTCTGGGCCCAGAAAAACACAAGCCAGCCTACTCGCAGCATATTCCCTGAAACAGCTTATCAATCTTCGTTTGTCTCTTTTCCATAGCTAGAGATCACTCACAACTCCCAAAATGCAGTCAGAGAACAATGCAACCCATGTGATCGATCCAGACGGAGATGTGATGATCATCCTGCAGAACGCAAACAAAGGCTTGGCCAGTTTCAGTGAGGAATCCAACCCCAAAAAGAAGCGCAAGACGTCACAAAACCCAGAAGTCCGCATCCTAGTTTCTTCAAGCCACCTCACTTCCGCCTCGCCAGTTTTCAAAAGCGCCCTTGATGGAACATGGAAGGAGGGCCATACACTCCGCACTGCAGGCTCAGTCAATATCACCGTGGACGGTTGGGATCTTGAGGCGCTTCTCATTCTGCTGAGAATTTGTCACTGCAAGAACGACCAAGTTCCTCGAACGCTTAGCCTGGAATTACTTGCAAAGGTCACGGTTTTGGTCGATTACTATCAGTGTTTCAATGTCTTGCGATTCTTCGCGGATACGTGGATTAGCTGTTTAGAGCAGAACTTTCCAACACAATACTCGCGAAAAATACTCTCATGGTTGTGGATATCTTGGGCTTGGAAAGTGCCAGCTCTCTTCAAAAAGGCAACAGAGATTGCTATAAGCCAAGCTCCGGGTTTCATCCCCTCGCTGGGTTTGCCAATCCCACGGAAGATCATTGGTAAAACCAATTACATCACTTCTTGACAAACTTCTACTGATGGGTTCTATAGACGACATCAACATAAAGAGACTAAGGGCAATCGAGGGTATATTTTCCTCTCTGGACAGCCTTCAAAGTTCTCTCATTGAAGGAAAGCGTGGCTGCTCTCTTGGGTGCAGGTCAATGATGCTTGGTACTTTGATGTTACACAGGCATTCGAACGGTTTGCTCACACCAACTGGTACAGCAAATCTTGTAGGTCTAAAGGCTGGGGATCTTGCCACAAAAGTAAGTAGCTTTAGCCTCCCAGTGTGGCATTCAGAAGTGGTTCGCAATGGTCGGGCTTTCAACTGTCATCTGGGTATTTTGTCTTGCCTGAATTCGGAATTGCAGCAAAGCCTCCAGGGCCTTGATCTTCAACACCAAACAACTTAAGGATTCCAAATAAGCAAACAGTATTTATGAGTGTCCTTCATGTGATCCTATTACGGAATGTTTTATAACTGTATGGCGCCATTGCAACCTGGACCTTAAACTTCGTTGTATGCTCTTCTCCTGTCTTTTGCTTTTCGGCTTCTATCACGCTCTTCGCATCATATCTACCCTCAATACCATAATAAGTGACTATAGGTGGAGGAGAATCTAGCTACAGTACGCAAGGGTCCATAGTTCAATATTTCCCTAGCGGAAGCTATTTAGGCTAAATGCAATCTGTTGGAGAGTCGAAGTCTTGGTCATTCTGGCCATGCCGAGTTTGTACACCAACATTAAGATTATTGCTTTAGACCTGAGTCCAGTATCAAGTACAAGAGCTTTTTTATAACCCTTCTTACCAAAGTCCCTTAAGTCACAAGGGCAACCGGTGTGGTAGTGACTCTGGTGAGATCCAAATATTAATCAGTCCCGGAGTAAAAGCGAATGAATTCAGTATCTAAATGTCACGAGATGAATAGCACATGACACCCCTCCTATATAAATTTCTGAATACTGAGTACTATACTAAAAGCTCTAGGCTGATCCTCAATTCAACTCTCGTTCAACCTCCAGTCCTTCTTCCAAAGCTTAACTGTTAAGTTTCAAGTTACTTTGGCAGATGAAATAAGCTTTGTTAAATCCGTTAAATCCCACTTCTATCTCATTGTGGCAATTTGGTAAACGCATGGCACGAACACAGGAAATGTTTTCAACACTCAATTTGCACAACTCCTCACATTCGGGCAGGTCTTGACTTTCTCTCACTGCGTGTCAGTTGCCCTTGGGCCCACTCTCTCAGTAAGCCAACAATGCCTTCGATCTCGTTCTCGGTATTGTCAGCGTGTATGACAATCCGAATTCGACTTTTGTCCTTGGGCACCAGGGGAAAGTTTGCTGTGTTTACCCAATACTTGGCCTGGTGTAAATGCTGTGCCAATTCCTTCGCCTTTCCTGGCTGCAACACTATTGCAGCTATGGGGGCCAGGAAGGGCTGTGATCGCCAGGTCTTCTCGGTCGGAAGACTAAAAATACCCTTTTCTTTCCCCTGCTTCCACTCAACACTTGTCGTCAGCGTCTGGTAGAAGTGCTGCAAATTTTTCTGCAGTCGGTATCGACGCTGCGATATAGAGTTAGCCGGTTAGAGCCTTGTCATAAGAGGTTAAACCAACCCTTTCTCCCTCTTCACTGGCTAGCAGATCATAGCCAGCCTTCACAGCTGATACGGTAGGAAAGCTAGGAGCTGTGCTGAAAATGACGCTGCGAGCATAGTTGAGAAGCGCGGATTTAATTGTTTCGTTGACCAGTACTACCGCTATTTTCTTTCGTTAGACTCTATGGAGACAAAACACGGAACAATGATTCTTACCTCCTGCCGACCCTAGTCCTTTTCCACAAGTCTGGAGTCGTATGGCAAACTCAGCTTCCAGCCCATAATGGCAGATGAACCCCGAGCCATTTGGTCCGACAACTCCATTGGAGTGGGCTTCATCGATTCCAAGCACATAATTGCCCTGCGGAATAGTGTCTCGGACAACATTCACTATCTCCTGAACTGGAGCCACGTCACCATCCATGCTGTAGAAAGATTCCAGTGATATAAAGACAACCTGTTTCCCTTCAGAAACAGCAGAGTGTCCAGCCTGGATGTCCTTCAGGCAGTCTCGAAGAGATTCACAATCATTGTGTTTAAATGGGACAGTCATGGCTCGTCCTCGTCGCATGCCGTCATGAATACTTGCGTGCACATATTCGTCATAAACGACAAAGTCACCAGGTTGTGGGATTGCAGACCAAACGGCCACATTGGCATCATACCCCGAGTTAAAGAACATGGCCGACTCAGCACGGTGGAACTGAGCCAAGTCACGCTCAATGTCCTCTAGATACTGCTTGGTGCCATCTAAGATACGTGAAGAGGTGCTTCCGACAGTGAAGTTCGGGTGTTTCAGAAGCTCGCGCAAAAACGCCGTCGATAGGACACCGGAGGATGACAGAGAGAGGCTGTCGTTAGAGCCAAAATCTGTCATTTCAGCCAGAGTAACCGCAGAAGGGGGGTCAATAAGTCGACCCTCTTCACGGCGGTTGTCCAGCGCAGCCTGAAGCTTATGGCAGAGAATATCGAGTCCCGCACTCATATTGTTTTCTTAATGAGTCCTGCTTCTATGTGTCCGAGACACCGTAGCTTGTCTGTCTACCCTTTATATAGTAGTCCTGGACTGCATCACAAACTACAATTTTTCCAGTATGTTTAACTTCAGTGATATCACGGATACTCATAGCGCCACATCCTGCTGAGTTTTGGGGCATAAAACTTGATGGTGCCATATCTTCCGCGGTAAGTATCAACGACAACCCTCCTAATGTGGCGCTCAAGCATGTCAGTGACCCGATGCGCTCGGTTTTACTCGTATCGAAACGTCGGGCTCCAGGTAACTTTGCTCACAGGGCCTAGCCTGTCAATATCCCAAGCCCTATCAGGTTTACCAAGCATCCTTGGAAATATGTCAAGTCTAGACGTCAATTGCTCATGTAGCGATCCTGTGAATGCAGGGAAGAGCGCTCTCTATCTGGTCTAGCGAACCCACAATGCAGCTCTCGGAACTCAATATGGGGGATTCGAACAGGAAACCGACAAATCAGCTCTTACACTAAACGAAACGCCCCCACAGTTCTTCACCCCCCTTGTCCATTGTCAATATATATTCAGGATTAAATTCTACAACGTCATACCAGGGTCATCCACGATGTCCATTACATTGTGGCATGAAAATTGGCACTGGTTGGTCCAAAAGAAGGTGTACTAGATCTACAGGACAGGTTTGGCACCTAGGCTTGGACGAGCCCACTCAGCTAGCGCAAGATCAGTAGCGGTATGTCATATGTTGACGTTGATGGAGGCCGTATCTAGAGGCAAGGACTAAGAATTGCACACGACTTAATCCTGCTCACTTCCTGTCACACTACAAGTTCCAGGTCATGTGCGTCTATTTTTTGCATTCCCAACAAGTCTATGCCATCCAAATTCAAGAATATGATGCTTGGTTAGACTGGATACCCACACGGTAGACATTGATATGATAATTGTGAAAAACTCAAACTCACTTGGCCACCACATTGCCAGGAATAGTGACACCATCAAGAGCCGAATCGAGATAGTAAGCAACGATAACAAGAAGCTGGTAGGGTAGCCTTGCTTTGCCATTTTATCTTACGGCATAGTGATGCAGAGCAACCAAGAAGCTCTGGATGAGGTGCGAGTACAAAATGATCACTTGTCAGATCTACTGTGTACAAGTACATTGCCTACTCAGGTCCTCTCATATTATCTATCTGCATGATTAGTAAACTTCAGCAAATTCTCAATTAAATCCACTCTCTAACGCTTACCCTTGCAATCATGGAACAAATTATCCATTCCCATGCTCAGCAAACTCCGGGTGCAACCGCCGTTATTGATGGAGCATCAACCTTCACGTACGGTGAGCTGGTTGCTGAATCGAGCGCATTAGCCCAGGCACTGAAGAAAGAGCTCGATATATCCCTGGAGGAACCAGTAGGAATTCTGCTCGGTCCAGGGAGGTCACAAGTCGTTGCTCAACTTGCTGTCCTTCTGGCTGGAGGCACCTGCGTACCGATCGAGCCCTCCTTTCCAGAACGTCGCATCATGTCCATGTTACAAGATGTCCAAGCTAAACATGTGATTATGGAAATGCCTGGAACCCTGAAGCTTCGTGGATTCAGCCATATCTACTTGAGTGATGTCGAAAAGCGATCTACCTCTGTCGTTCCCAATTTAGGGTTTGGCCATCGGGTCAACCGGAGCCACATACTCTTTACATCTGGTTCAACCGGGAAACCGAAGCCGGTTCAGGTCCAAGCAAGCAGCATATTGCACCTTGCCACAAAGACTCCAGTGACACCACTTTGTCCAGAAGACCGAGTGGCACAATTCAATAGTCCCGGCTTCGACCTCAGCCTTTTCGAGATCTGGGTCACCCTGATTGCTGGTGCAGCCATTGTGGTCACTCCACGTCATGTAGTCACAGACCCTAATGCTCTCCCTGCGTTCCTTAGGGAGCAAGGTATAACGATCATCATAATCACCGCGGTACTGTTTGAGACTATTGCCTTTGCTTCTCCTGGAGCGTTCGAATCGCTGCATCACGTTCTCACGGCGGGTGACGTCGCCAATGCGCGGGCGATGAGGAACGTATTAGAAACACGTCCTCCCCGGCATCTGTGGAATACATATGGACCTACCGAATGCACTACTCTGACAACTATGTTTGAAGTGACACTTAAAGACACTCACCGTGAACGTATCAGCATTGGACAGTCCGTGGGAGATATGAAAGTCATCTTACTCGACGAAGACCAGAAGCCTGTTGTTGGCTGCGGGAGACGCGGAGAAATTTGCATTGGAGGTCCTCAACAATCCATTGGATATTTTGCCCAGCCGTCGGAGACTGAGAAATCCTTCCTTCGTCTACATAAAAGGGATCTCGGGATCCCGGGAGGTGAGGGCGATCTTATGCGTCTGTATCGCACTGGCGATATAGGTGCATGGCAATATGAATCCCGTTGTCTCGACTTTCTGGGCAGGTCAGATACACAGATCAAGTTCCGCGGATTTCGGGTAGAACTAGGAGAGATTGAATGCGTCCTGCAATCTCATGAGGAAGTTCAGGCGGTAGTCGTTGCTCGGCAGCCCTCACTGACAGCAGATGGAATGGAAGCATTAGTGGCCTTCGTTGTCCCGAAGGACATGGATTCTGTACATCCAGAGGACTTGAGGGACTTTGCTTCTAAACGACTCCCACAATACATGCTACCCAATGCTATGGAATTTATGGAAAGGTTTCCCTTGACAGCAAACGGAAAATTGGACCGCAAGGCGCTGATAGACGGCCGACTCAAAATGCTCGAAGAACAGAAACCCCTTCAAAATGGCACTAAAGAGAAACAAGGCAAGACGGCAGCGCTTTCTGGCCTGTGCAAGAAGATTCTGAACATTCCACAAATCCACGAGCATGATGATCTATTTGCCCTAGGAGCCACGTCACTCCAAGCTGCGACTCTTCTTGCATTGGTCCAAGACCATCTGGGGTGCATGGTTTCGATGGAAGACCTTTACAGTCATCCTACATTATCAAGCCTATCACAACTTATCGAGCTCCAGGAATCTGGGAGCACATGGAATGCGCCTGATAACACCCGGCTGTGGTTGGAAGACGTAAGTCGAGTCGATGATATTGAACTACTTCCTCACTGGGAATCCGAAGATGAGGGAAAGGTGTTTATCACAGGGGCTACCGGCTTTGTCGGGGCGCACTTTCTTCACCGTCTATTTTGCAGACCATCTGTCAAGCAAGTCGCTTGTCTGGCCCGCTCGAAGCAGAGTACGAGTGCAGCCACCCGGATTCGACAAGCCCTGGAACGCTACGACCTGTGGGCTGATTGCGCGGAACACGAGCAAAAGCTTATTGTTCTCGATGGTGATCTCGTCGAGAGCACTCTAGGCCTAGGGACAGAGCGCTTCAACTGGCTGGCCAACTGGGCATCAATAATATTCCATCTCGGAGCTAAAGTGAATTTCTGTGAATCGTACCGCGAACACCACAGATCCAACGTCATCGGCACCTGCAACGCGCTCCGCCTGGCTGCTGCAGGTCGTCGCAAAGCCTTCCATTACTTTTCCACTATCGATGTTTGGGGCCCAACCGGCCTCATCCTGGGAACCAAAGAGTTATACGAGGATGAACCCTTGATGCCACACAGCCAGGCCGTACGGTATGACCTAGGGTACTCGGGCAGCCAATGGACGGCTGAATCGATGGTACGTCGCATGCGTGACCGAGGTTTACCCACTGTCATCTACCGGCCAGGGTTCATCATCGGAGACAGCGTCACAGGACATAGCAATCCGGACGACTTTATGTCCCGGGTAATAGTCGGATGCATCCAACTGGGCACCTTTCCCAGACTGGACCAACGGCTAGAGTATGTGACGCTCGACTACGTGGTCTCAGCTGCGATGCACATCGCCTCGTCTAACGAGAGCCTAGGACGATCCTACAGCCTTCTCTCCCCGGATCAGTCGAACTCAGTCACCGTGGTAGATACCTGCCGTGTGATTAATGAGGCCGGCTATCCAGTGAAGATAATCGACTACAATGACTGGGTCGAACAGGTCTTCGCAAAGCAACGGCCAGATGGACCGCTGGCATCCCTGTTACCAATGTTCAGGGAGCGTGTGCTCGGGCGATTGACCCGCTGGGAAGTTAGTCAGTATACGCCGTATTATCGATCGGATAATACGGTCGAGGCATTGAAGGATCGGCCTGATCTCCAGTATCAACCATTGGATGCTCCGTTGCTGAAGAAGTATATCTCGTTTTGGAACAGGAAGGGATTCTACAAGGTGTGAATCAAGTCTGGCTGTTCCCTTGTCCTTTTCATTGATGCAGCTCAGCTGCAAGAGGTCCATCTACTTCTAATCACACGGCGTTCAGGAGAGTCTCGTGGGAACGGGCTGGCGGGTATAATAACTGACATTCCTACTATTACAGTACTAGACTTTTCCTGTCGATGTTGAGAGTGCTAGACATTCACACAGCTAAATCTACTACGTCTGGGATTCGTCGACTGCATTAAGGGGTTTATGTAGCATTCACTTTCAACTGATTTGCTTCTGGGGCTTTCGTACTTTAGATAGAAAGTCAAAGCATCTTCAGAACTAGGACAATCATTATAGCTGTAGAGAGGGAGAGAGAGAGAGAGACAAGGTCTTCTGTCCATTATATCGCGCGTGAGATAGATCTATCTAGTTATGAGATCTCATTAAACTCCAGAGTAAGCATTATTGACTATCCATCAGAAAAGATACGTTATATGTGGCGGTCGGCCTCTATGACTGACCGGTCGTCCTGACATTACAACATGCACGTTGACAAGTAGTAGATGAACGAGAAAAAGATCTACAAACTCGACTTCCCTCTCGTTTCGTAGGGAATGAGCAATACCAAGAACCCTGAAACTAAGAACAACACTCCACTCACGTACACCGGGCTGGTCGTCTGTACAGTAGCGAATATGGCGATAATGGGGGCCAGAATGCCTCCCACGCGATTCGCGGCACTGACCAATGCATTGCCCGTTCCGCGGTCTTTGGTTTCGAACATCTCCGGGGTGTATGCGTACAGCACAGCGTACAGCAGGCTGCTTGTGAAACTGTATGCGCAGTTCCAGCCAAGAAGGGCCTCGGAGGTCGATGCAGTCGTCGACGCCAGTAGAAACGTCCCTGTCGCGATGGCAGCGAAGGTGAGAGTGCCCTTCCGGCCCAGGCGGGGGAGTTCAACCATAGCGCCACCGACGAGACTACCAGGAACGCCGATAGCCGCAATGATGAGCGAGTTGCGGTAGGTGGTGTAAGTGGAGCCATCCCCGAATTGGACGCCTCGGGTTTGTTGAAGGTAGGGCAGGAAGGCATTATAGAGGGGGAAACCGAGTCCAATAAGAGTCCAGATCAGAATCATCAGGCCGGTAGACCAGGCACGCAGCGGTGTGTTGAATAGCGCTCTGACGTGTGAAAAGCTGAGGGGTTCCATCAGCATGCGCATCTGATCGGATGTACTGAGACCCTGGCGCGGAGCATGCTGTTCGTCTTCAAGGGTTATTAGTTCATCCAGATTCTCTAGCGACAGATCAGACGTTTTCCCGTTGCGGCGGGCAACCTCATGGACTACAGTCACGGCTTCGTGATTGCGACCCTTGCCCATGAGGTACTTCGGGGATTCATAAAGTGTGAAGAAGAGGCAGCGGACGATACACATGAGAAGGGCCAGCCCGCCCATGGTGATCAGGAAATACCGCCAGCCCATGTTGTTATCCCTGGTGCAAGTTTCTGCCGACGCACAGGTCAAATTGCCCAGCAGCGGCCACGCAACCAGGTTCGCCAGTAGCTGCGCCAGGGCCCAGTTAACGGACAAGACGGTCAGCAGGTACTGATGCGATCCCGGCAGGAACTCGAGGAAGATGGCCGAATCAACCGGTAAGTTTCCCCCCACACCGACCGACCACAAAGCCGCAAAGACGCCGACCGCTGCGAATGTAGGTGACCCAGCAGCTGCCAGGCCAAAGACGGCGGTGATGCCGATTGTGAGATTGAAGGCCCATCGGCGCCCGAAAAAATCGCAGCTAAACCCCCAGAAGAGCGCTCCGATCAACAGCCCGATATTCTGGGCGAGCGTCAAGAGAGGCGGTTGAGCGACGTTGAATTCATAAGATATGGGCACAAGAATGAGCGAGGTGACGATTGGCCACAAATTATCGCTGGCCCAGCCAAACCCGATGACGGCGAACAGCTGCCACTGATATCGGCCCATTCCAATATCCTGGAGGGCTTGGTTCAGTACTTCGGCGTTCGCTCGGTATATGGACGTCGCAGCGCCATCGTATGACGGTGCCGCGGCGAAGAGGGAGGGTCGGGCTCGTCAAATTTGGGCGTAGAGTCGTCCATTGTGGGGAGGGGGGTATAATCTACCATCGATCTCTAAAATCGAAATGAGCAAGGCAGGTCACTCGGGGCAAGCAATTGCCCTTCAGGGCTGATCTCACGAGCACATGGAGATGGGATGGGAGAGGACAACGCTGGGTACAAAAGGTTCTAAGCAAAATGTGCGACTCACGTTACTTTGAAGACGCATCTTGGTTGGTGTAGTATTAAATGACGGAATCAGCCGCGTCGATGGTATCATTCAAGGTAGATTGGATGCTACTCTTTCATCAGCCAGAGTTGCATTTGCAATGTCAACCAGGAAACAAGGTGAGCTACATCGGTGACGGTTTAGTCAGAATTAAGGAGGAAAAGAGAGCAATAAAACACGTAGAGGATCTAATAGACTCCACATGGATCGACTTCACATCGAAGAAGTACACAGGGCTAGTTAGTTAATAGATCAATGGACTATGTAAGAAAGAGAGTCGAGTTCCAACTGTCTTCCCCGCAAGAGAATCTCCACCGACGCTTAATTCATTGATTGATTAATTAATTAATTAATGGGACCCGCGACGGTGGCGGAAACGAGATGCCGTGGCGGATGATGTGGCTTTCGTGGCACTGCCTGAGGCTGCCCCCGCCAGTGCGCTGTAGGGCGTGGCGCCAGGGAAGAACGACGTGGGGATAGTCGGAATCGGGATCGAAGCGTCCGTTCCGAATGCGGTGCTCAAATCATTTGACATGCTGCTCACATCGTATCCTGTCGGAGCGGCAGTTTCAGTGATAACGGTGCTATAAGTAGACCTTCCATCATCATCATCCTGCAGGCAAAATCCGCTTCCAAATCCATTCTCACAGCTGTAGGTCTGTTCATCCCCCGATTCCGTCCACAGCGCAAAGTCATCGATAGTGATATCAGTACAAGGTGCCTTTTCAGCACACACAATCTTAATCGGCCCTCTGGCCGCACCGTCTTCCTCGGTACCTTTCCAGTTGCGCACAGTGATGTTGTTCAGCTGCACGCCGTCTCCTGATACAGTGCTCATGCTGCTCCATTCACCGTCAATGTCCAAGGAGTAAGCATTACCATGGCCTAGTACATCCCAGCCATTACTCTTAGTATGCGGCTCTACCGGTATCAGAATGAGACAGAAACATACCGATAAAGTTCTCCAACACCAAGTTCGAGACACTTCCACTGCCGCCGTTGCTCTTGATCATGTACATCTGGTTAGACTTCCAGGTGTAGACGTTGCGGTATACCACGTCGCTGATGTTGGTGTCCGCACCCAACGATCCCATCGCACAGCCTCCACTCCAGTTACAGTAGATATTTTCGACCAGGATGTTATTTGCTGGACTCTATAATCCAGTCAGCGATGTAAACTGTTGTACAAAAGATGCAGGGACACCAACCTTGATCGTGACACATTCATCCTTGTTTGTCACCTCAACCTAAGCACATATACCGTTAGCCACAATTTCAGAAGGATTGTGAAAAACAAGATGTACGATAAGCACGAAAGGGGAGAGAGAAAAGAAGATGGAAATAACATACATCATGGACCCAAACATTCTCGCTCCAAACATCAACACCGTCCAAACCACCAGAATCACCACCCCGTATAGCCATATTATAGACTTCTGCATTCTTACACGTATCCAAAGACAGATGGAAAGCAGGTGAGTCCACAAGTGCAATATCATGGACCGAGAAATCCGTCACGTCATAGAACCGCAACAACCGGGGTCCATCCAGGTTTCCATCCTTGTGGAATTCGTATCCCAATCCCTGAATTGCGCCCTGGGATGTACTGCTGAAGAATTCAAAGTCTGACGAGTGTTCAATCATGAACAGGTTTCCGCCATCGCTGCCAGAGCGGTAGATAATGCCGTCTAGCTGGATCGCGGATGCTTTACCCCCGGACAGCTTCAGCCTGGAGGACATGGCATAATCACCCGATGGGATGTAGACTACACCGCCCTCAGCGCAGTCATCCCATGCCTTCTCAATGGCGGAGCCAATATCGGTCTCTTTGTCAGCTTTGGCGCCGTAGTCCTGAACGTTACAAGTTTTGGTGCTCGCTTTGGACGCCGAGGAGGTCAGGGGGCCGACATGGCCTGAGAGTTGGGCGTTGACCAGCAACGGGGAGAGGAGGGCGAAGGAGAGGAGTGATAGAGAGTGCATTTTGATGATCTTTGGACTCTCCTCAGCTTGATTCTTTGGCTTAATACGACAAGAAGGGGTTGCGAGATGCGAACCGGATGCTGTCGGCCTAAAATACCCATTTCTATCCTAAGTGTACAGATATAACCCTACCGGATCACTACTCGTTACAGCCCCATAGAGATCCTTAACATCATGCAACGGGATATTAAACGGTACCAGATTTGAGAGCGTATGTTTGAAACTTATCCCCTCTTGTGACAGATCATCTCTCGTCTGACATCGAGGACGCGAAACACCTGTCTATATGAAACAATAGGCGCACTTGATAATGCTTAGTGCTTGAGGCATGATTCATGACCAAATCAAATGCTTTCAGAGGTGTAAAATCTCACTGCCGATGTTGATGCCGTTGGTGGATAAAGCAGGTGGATCCTTCACTGCTTCTCCTAGGGTATCGGGGTGATGATCGCGTCGGAGCTTACGTGCACGGGGCTGTTCGTCGTGTCAAATGGGCCGATCAGCGGGATCTTTACACAGTACCATCGGCCCGAGGACTAGATTGGGCGCAGAGCCCATAACTCATAAAGGGGTAGTCTCCGTCGTTCAGATCTAGCCGTACTATAGTTACCTCTTTATGTAGGTTGAGCGGCGGGTTCATCAGCGACCTGTAAGCGAGGTTAAGCGACGGTCTACCACCGATCTCTGTTCATTCTCTCGTTGAAAGTCTTGCAGCCACTGTTCTACGCATATCTAGTGAGCTAGGCTCGGTTTCGGTGTTATCCAAGAACAGTGAATCCACGATATCACAAACCTATAGCAGGAGCTAACAAACTATACCCTTTTGACCCACAACAATCTCATCAAGAAGCCATGGGATTATTCGAGTTTAGCTAAACTTTAGAAAAGTATATGCCAATCTCCTGGATTCTGGCTTTTTCTAGGAGATGCTTCTCAATTAGACCAGGCGTCAGTCTTCACTTCCGGCAATGCCATGTCGCAGGAGACACTGGTGAGACTAAAGCCCTCCAAGTCCTTTAAACCCTCATGGGAAAACCCCGTCTAAAGTGCTAAGATATGATTGCAATATTTTACCTCATAAAATACTTCTCTTGATTAGTCGTATATGCCTGGATGACTCTGTCTCAGGATGGACGGTCATGTCCCTTGGCAATGGTGGCAGATTGACAAATCTCCAGGATATACCAAATGAGCATAGCTCATGCGCCAGAAAACGTACACGGGAAGAGAGACGATTTCAATGAGGATGGAAAGGAGGGAGAAGGAGGGAGGGGGAAGGGCTTCATGAGTGGTTGTTGCTGCACAATCTCATGAGGTCTTTTTCTCTTTGATTCTGGACAAAGCCCTCAGCGGAAGCATCCTGTCTGGCCATCTTCGATCAGAGTGATTAACATTTTGTTAATGTGGGAAAAGAAAAAGAAATGGTGAAATCGAAATCCATTTGCCGGCATCTAGGTCGCAACTCTTAGTCGAAGGTGATGCGATGCTTCCCTGAGCATAGCCGGTGCGTCAGCAATCAAGGTGGCTAGGCCATCTTCACCACACGTTGGGTAACTGTTTTAAAACAGGTATGGGAGAAGGTTCAACCGTAAAAGTACTAGTAGTGGCTCTTCTAGATATGTCTTTCTCTTCTCATTGGTTTAGTACATGTACCTACTACTAGTATACTAATAGTATGGTCCTATACAACCTCTTTGAGCGAGTGGGCATGCGCCGAACGTTGAAAGGAAATACAAACTCAAGCAACGATCTGGACTACACACGAGAACCTGTTTACCAAATTCCTCTCCTTATATCTTGCATTGGTAGATTACTCCTCTCTACCTGTGAACCTCCTTTCGTGGTTCCCGCAACCGTCGCCGATGCTCTCGGCCGAGTTGTTATGTCTCGGATGAGATGATCATATAGAAATCCAAGAGTGAGCACCAATGACTCACAGGTTAAGCTGTAGAGGTCATGATGGTGTATATAACCTGACTGTAACCGTAGACAAACCAAGAGATGATAGACATCGTAACGTCAATGATTGTTTTAGGAAACGGGTGGCAACGGATGTCTCCGAGTCAATAAAACTCTCCCGCAACCCCAGACATCAAACAGCTCAAGGCTGAAAATCGACATCGAGTCATGGCTAGTTCAAACGGAAGCCCAGGACAATCCCCACTCACAAAACATGATATGGGCTGGAGGAAGGTGGTTCGCAATTTCACCCCTTCGTAAGCCTCAAATCCTCTCCTCAGGGAGAACATTCTTGTTAAACCTTGGATACAGGTGGTTTTCGGTCACGATGGGCACAGGCATTGTTTCAATCCTACTAAATACCCTGCCCTATAACGGTGAATGGCTCTACTGGATCTCTGTTGCGATCTTTGCCTTCAACGTTCTTCTCTTCGCGATAGGATGTGTCATCACCGTCCTCCGGTACTCGTTATACCCGGAGATTTTCACTGTGATGATTACCCATCCGGTTCAGTCTATGTTCCTTGGGACGTTTCCAATGGGCTTTGCCACTATTGTTAATATGTTTTGCTTCGTCTGCGTCCCAGCTTGGGGGGAATGGGCCAAGAACTTCGCCTGGGGGATGTGGATATTTGACGCCATCCTCTCAGTCATTATCGCTCTCTCGCTGCCATTCTCATTGTACGTCACATGTTCCCTCCAAATCGCGAGTTGAACGACACTAAATGTATCCTAGGATGGCCCATGGAGGCGAAACGCAACTCTCATCCATGACCGCGGTTTGGCTCCTCCCCATTGTCAGCTGCGTCGTTGCCGGGTCTTCCGGCGGCATCGTGGCGGGTGTTCTCTCCAATCCGCAACATGCGCTCTGGACTGTGATCGTTTCGTATATCCTGTGGGGAATCGGACTTCCACTGGCCATGATGGTCATGGTGATCTACCTACAGCGACTGACTCTGCACAAGATTCCGCCCAAGGCGGTGATCGTCAGCGTTTTCTTGCCTCTGGGCCCATTGAGCCAAGGCGGTTTTGGGTAAGGGCGCTTTTCCCCAGCAGAGTGCACGTAGATTCTAACGTCTGTAGGATCTTGAAACTGGGTAAAGCCGCACAGACCATTTTCCCTCAAACGCACACACTTCAGGCATCATCCGGCGATGTCTTCTACACAGTAGGCTTCTTGGTCGCCTTGATTCTCTGGGCTTTCGCACTTGTCTGGCTCTTTTTCGCCCTGGCATCCATTGTTCGATGCAAGAGCTTTCCGTTCAACATCGGATGGTGGGGGTTCACATTTCCCCTGGGTGTCTTCGCCACCTGTACCTGTGAAATGGGCACAGAATTGCCATCGGAGTTCTTTAGAATCCTTGGGACAGTATGTGCTCTTTTACGCTTCTTGTCGACGAATTTCGCGCTAACGTCCGGTAGATTGTCTCGCTTTGCGTGGTTGTATTATGGATTGTTGTGAGCGTTGGGACGCTCATGGGAGTGGTATCCGGACAGTTGTTTGTCGCGCCGTGTTTAGCGAACTTGAAAAGCAAAGAGGAGGACAAAGACGCGACCAGAGCTGCGTAACAGATCGGTACTGTAGTGTACAGTATATTGTTGTGGGTCCCTTATAGTTCTCTTTTATTTTTTATTTTTTATTTATTTTTTTTTGACACCCGGTTAGTAGGGTGTATATTGTATACTACACAATTAAGAAAAGTGGTTGGTAGAAAAGAATATTTGAATAGTATATATAATTTAATAAATTATTTCTAATGCACATCAAAGGGGAAAAAGTAAATAAAATTATCAAATTAGACTACTGGGGAAGATAAGATTGGGTTTATTATTGTTACATTCTGGTTCTCGAATGTAATTCTTTTTTAATTTTTTTTAAAAAGATTTTTACTTAGTTTTTGTGTGTGTATATGTGTGTGTTGCGTTGCGTTGGTGAAGGTTTCGAGGATCGTGGATGATGCCTTCAACCACCATCAACCAAGCAAGAAAAAAGTCGAGAAAGAAATGCAACAATCGAACCGGACATTTTGGTAATATAAGCTTAAATGAGAGATTTAGATCTTATAGGTGGAAAGGGTCTGTCAGTGATATAATATGGGGATCTATTTTGAATTGTTTTATTTTATTTAAATATTTAAATATTTAATAAATAATAAAAAAAATGAAAAAGTATTTAAAAAATTATTTATTTATTTATTGATTTATTTTAATTTTGATTTTAGCCCATAGGACTTTATTCTTTAGTGCAGACCACAACCCTTTTCTGCGCCCGGGAATGTTTTTGTTTCGAAAGAGAGAAAAGAAGAAAGAAACATCCATCTCGACCCTGGCGCCTCTTCTGGTCGAGATTTCGCGTATTCCCTCCGTGCCCTCAACTCACACGCCTTTCGTATTTTTGTCGTGACCGCAGTCCATCGAGTGGTGTGGCTGAGCGATGAGTGGCCAGCATGGCCATACATCACGTGATGTGGAGGGAAGCTAAAAAATTAAAAATAAAAAATGGAAATTCAAAATTCAAAAATCCAAAAAAATCGAAAAAAGGGCGAAAAAAGAACCACGCCGGTGATCTTGCGATCCCAAACAAATCATCCGCTTGGCTCTTCCCCAGATTCCAGTATAGCTGAACATTTCCATCGAGTTTACGTCGGAAGAATCCCATTTCTCCCTGGGGCATCACCGTGTGTTCGTCCTCTGTTCCTTTGGCACCTTCGCAGGTGGTTCGGGCGCAGTGGGTTTTTCTCCCCTTGTATTATTTTGGGGGGTAATTTTCTAATACTTCTTTCCCTTTTTTTTTTTTTTTATTTTTTTTTCTGCCTTCCCCAACAACTTGCGCCACGGAGCCAACCGTCTACCGTAGAATCTCAGCCTAAGGCCACCAATCAATCCCCCATATCATTTTCGCAGGTGCAAATTGCCGACTCTCCACGGCAAATCTTCCTCTCCAACTGATACGCGCTCGAGGTGCGCGCGTTTTTCCCTGGGAGAGTTCGGTCAATTGCTGCGAGCTGGTCCCGTCCTGTGAATCTCGGTGGATCTGGAATTTAATTCTCCAGCCGTCAATTACCGATTGGGAGCGTCCGTTCACCGTGCATACCGCGTCGGGACGCGGTGGTCACATGTTTGCTATCTGAAAGTCTGACGGTCCATCTAAAAAGAAAGAAGAAGGCATACAGATAGCGCGGAAATTACTCAACCCTCCCTGGGTTCATATCACCGCTAAGATGATGGGATATGGGGGTCATTCATTTCACCAGCAACGGCAAGCTCAGCAGAATGCCCATCCTCAACAGCAGCAACATCTCCAGTCCCCGTCGATGGGGGCCGCTGCTGCGGCTGCGGCTGCCACTGCCACGCATCAACACCATAACAGTGGTATCGCCGGGAACAATTCCCTTCTGCGCGGTCAACAGCAAACCGATTTGGCAGCTCATTCTCCAGATCTTCGCAAGATGACTCCGTCGTCGTCGGCGCCGCTAGTGGGAATTCCCACGGCCGGCAATTTCGCTTCCTTCCCTGGCCATTTCCCGCCCCAGGTTCATCCGATCTGCTCTCTCGAGGTGCCGAGTCTGTAAGTCAGTTAAAAGACCCTTATCTGTCGCTGCAGAGCTTGCAGAGGAATATGAATCCCATGGCTAGTTTTCGCGGGCACCCCGCGGCGGCCATGAACGCCCAGGCGGCCATGTCGCCGCACGCGCATGCCATGGGCTTGTCATCGCCGCAGCAGTCGATGGACCGCATGCAACATGCGCAGTATCAACACCGACAGACGACGCATACCCACCCGGCGCAAACTCCCACGACCGCGTCGCCCATGTTGGCCGCAGCTCAGCCCCAGCAGCAGCATCAGTACCAGCAGCAGGCGCAGTATCAGGCAACGCAACAGGCTCAGTATCAACCGCAGCAGCAAGCACAGTACCAGCAAGCTCAGCAGTCTCCCTACCAACAAGCTCAGGCCCAGCCTCAGTATCAAGCACAAGCGCAACAGTCGCCTTACCAGCAGCAAGTGCAGCAAACTTTCCAGCAACAGCAAGCTCAACAGGCACAACAGGTCCAGCAACAAGCGCAACAGCAAGCACAGCAGTCCTATCAGCAGCATGCTCGGTACCAATCGCAGCAGGCCCAGCGCTCGCCATATCAATCACAGGCCCAGCAGCACCAGTTCCAACAAGCTTACCAGCAACGCCAATATCAGCCGCAGCAACAAGCACAGTATGCGCAACAAGCGCAACAACACCAGCAACGACCGCCGCAGTCGACAACGCCGTCAACCATGGGGGGAAGTGCAGAGCTCTCAGTCCAAGAGCCAGACGCGGAAGAGACTAAAACCAAGCGACGTCCGAAGCAACCCAAGGCGACTGTATCTCCTGCGATATCAGCGAAACAAGTGAATGGTCAAACGCCGGCTGTATACGCCACAGATGCTCAGGCTCAGGCTCAGGCTCAGGCTCAGGCTCAGGCTCATGCTCAGGCTCAAGCTCAAGCTCAGGCCCAGGCCCAAGCGCAGGCCAAGGCCCAAGCGCAAGCACAAGCACAAG